AGAAGGCCCAAATGGGGCCAAAACCGTAGTAAAATCAATGATTCTATAGGCTTACGCCACATCCGCCGACCCCTATATAAACTACTGCGCCTCCAGGACTGCATTTCACGAGGCTTGTCCGAATCAGGACACGGCACTCGACATCGTTCCTGTTGCCTCGTTGCTGTTATCGTATCTGTTGGTGCTCTTTTGCGGCCTTTTGGTGGCATCTTGGCCTGTCTGCAGGCCATATCCGGCCGCCTCGAGGCATCTTGGGCCAAGTTTTGGGGCCTCTTGGGGGCTTCCTGGGGGCTTCTTGGAGGCCTTTGAGGGTCTCTTGGGGGCCCTCAGGGCCTCTTGGGTTGTTATTGGGGCAGGCTGGGGGCGTCTTGGGGCCGAAGGCTCGAAAAGGTGCCCTCTGGGCTCCGTCTTGGAGCCGTCTGGGGGCCCTCTTGGGTTGTCTTGGGGTCTTCTCTTCGACCCTTCTTGGGGGCCCCTTTGGCCGTCTTGGGGCGATATTGAAGGTTTCTCTGCCCGTCTGGGACGTTGTGAAAACCGAGCAGGCGAACATGCGACACATGTTGTTTTTTCGAAGGGAATGGGGCGATTTTTGTTTCCTGGGACTCTCTTGGGGCGCATTTTGGAGCCTTTTGGGGCGTCTTGGCAGCTTCGGAGGCCGCCTGGAGGCCATCGTGGGCGTCCAGGGCGATATTTCGGCGAATCGTGGCCCCTTGGGACCGTCTGGGGAGCGTTTTGGTGGCTTCTTGGCAAGTTTTGGAGCCCTCCGCTCCCCCGTGACGCGTTCGGTCCGGGGTCGGGCTGGGCGAGGGGGGGGGCGTCGAATTCCCGGTTTCGGGTCCCTGGGGGGGATTATGGGGGGGATAATCTCACACGCCTAGAGACCCACAAGGGGTCGGCGGATTATGATGATGATGGTGCTGGTGATGATCTGTAATGGTGATGGCAATGCTGATGCTGATGTTGCAGTTGCGGAGTACGATGATGGTCATGCTGATGATAATGTTGATGAGGATGATGATGCTGATGATTATGATGCTGCTGATGATGATGATAATGCTGATGATGATGATGCTGCTGATGATGATGATGCTGCTTATGCTGGTAATTGTGCTGATGGCGACTGTGCTGCTTCTCATGACGAGCATGTTGATGCTGTTGTGAGTGATGATTACCATCTCGTTGACCATGAGGATACTGATGATACTGATGCTATTGGGGGGGCGAGCGGCGAGAGATGGCGGGCAGGCGGTGCGACGAGGTCGAAGGGGGACGCCGCAGAAGCAGTTTAGTTTGGGACCGTGGTCGGGCAGTTCGGCGTAGAACCGATGGGTTCCGGGCACCCCTGCGGGTGTGCCCGTTGAACCGTTCGGTTCCGTCGAGCTTTCCTGTAAATCCTCGTTGAACTAGCGGTTCCGAGCACCCGCATGGGTGCTCGTTGAACCGCGGGTTCCGGGCATTTGGCCACGCAGAAAGCCTCGTGCACGTCATCGTTGTCGTCGTCCTGTTCGTCGTCGTCGTCGTTATTGTTCGTCCGCGTTTGAAGGTTGCGGTTTTGAGAGGTTGTCGCGGGGCCCGTGGACGTTCAGAACACGATGTTGAGAGCTTCGACATGTCACGATGGAAGGGTTCTGGGGGGGAGACGGACCCGCGGGAAAGTCCAGGAGAGTCGTCCGTGCCATGGGGAAGGTAGGGGTGGGGAGGGCGACGACAACGACAACGACGACGGACGCCGACGACGATTGTTACAACGATGGCGGCGGCGACCGCATAGACGACGACGTCGTGGGAGAAGTGCTCATGTTCTTTGATGGGCGACAATCGTCGCAAAGGGGGATGCGGGGGAGAGCGGGCTTACGTGGCATATCTCCCCCCCAGAACCCTTCCATCGAGGAGGCGGAGGAGGAGGAGGAGGAGGAGGAGGAGGAGGAGGAGGAGGAGAAGGAGGAGGAGGAGGAGGAGGAGGAGGAGGAGGAGGAGAGGGATACGGAGAAGGAGGAGGAAGTGGAGGAGGAGGATGGGGAGGAGGAGGGGAGGATGAGGAGGAGGAGGAGGAGGAGGAGGAGGAGGAGGAGGAGGTAGAGGCGAAGGCGGAGGAGGAGGAGGAAGAGGAGGAGGAGGGAGGAGGAGGAGGTGAGGAGGAGGAGGAGGAGGAGTAAGGATGAGGAGGAGGACAATGACGAGGACAAGGAGGAAGGATATGGACGATACCGAAGGGCGAGGGGAAGGAGGAGGAGAAGGAGGAAGAGGAGGAGGAGGAGGAGTAGGAAGGAGGCGGAGCAGGAGGAGGAGGGGGAGGAGGAGGAGGAGGAGGCGGAGGAGGAGGCCTCTTGAGGCTTGGGACGGCATGGTTGGCGCGCACTGCAGGTAGTACATATTGTATATTATAATGTAGAATTAACCACGTGAGATATGCGCCTTTCGGCCGGATGCAGACTTGCTTTGCCTTGCCTCCTTCTCCTCCTCCTCCTCCTCCTCCTCTCCTCCTCGTTCTCCTCCTCCTCCCTCCTCCTCCCTCACCTCTTCCTCTCCTCCTCCCTCCTCCTCCTCTCCTCCTCCTCCTCCTCCTCCTCCTCTCCTGCTTCTCCTCCTCCTCCTCCTCCTCCTCCTCCTCTTCCTCCTCCCCCTCCTCCTCCTTCCCCCCTTCCTTGATTTTTCGCCGAGGCTCCAGGCTCTCGAAGCTCGTGGAGCTATCCCGCGGTTGTCGGCGCCAGGGGCCGCTTCGGGCCCCGTGGGTGTCAGAGACGAACCCGGGAAGAAAAACTACCTCCAGGAAGGATCCTCCTTCCCTCCCTTCTCTCTTCATTAGGCTGACGATGAGCCCTCATATTCCGACAGTCCCTCCGCCCCTCGTCCTCGTTCTCCTCGCCGTTGGGGCCTGCTCCCGCGTCGCCGGCGCCCTCGGTCCCTCTCGTCCCCCTCGTCCCCTGTCGCCCCCTCGCGCTTCTCCGCTCCCTCGTTTTCCTCCGCTTTCTCGTTCTGCTCCGCTCCCTCGTCCTCCTCCGCTCCCTCGTCCTCCTCGTCCTCGCCCTCTTCGTCCTCGTCCCTCGTCCTCCTCCTCCCCTCCCTCGCTTCCTCGCTTTCCTCGTCCCTCGCTCTCCTCGTCCCTCGCTATTCTTCGGGGGCGGCCTATCGCTCTGTCTCCGCTCCTGGCGCGCCTTCCAAAACTCCCTACCAGGGGGAGGGGAGGCGCCCGAGGGCCCAGCCCGGCCCCCCCGTATTCCTCCTCCGCCTCCTCCTCCTCATCCTCCTTCTCCTCCTCCTCCTCCTGCTCCTCCTCCTTTTCTCCTCCTCCTCTCTCCTCCTCCCTCCATCCTTCCTTCCCTCCCTCCCTCTTTTCCCTCCCTCCTCCCCTCCCTCCCTGTTTCCTTCCCTCCCTGAACTAGGCTGACGATGAGCCCCCATAGTCCGACAGTCCCTCCCTCCCATGTCCTCGTCCTCCTCTTCGCTGGGGCCTGCCTCCGCCCCGAGGGCGCCCTCGAGCCCTCTCGTCCTTATCGTCCCCTTCCGCCCCCTCGCTCTCCTTTGCTGCTTCGTCCTCCTCCGCTCCCTCGTCCTCCTCCGCTCCCTCGTCCTCTTCCGCTCCCTCGTTCTCTTCGTCCTCGCCCTCCTCGTCCTCGTCCCTCGTCCTCCTCCTCCCTTCCCTCGCTCCCTCGCGCTTCTCGCCCTTCGCCCTCCTCGTCCCTCGCCTGGCGCGGAGCGCCCCGCCGGGCAGCCGATGGAGCTGGCGGCTCGCCGCGGCGCGCGCGCGGCCGCGAGCGACCTGACGGCGCACGCCGCCGAGGTGCTTGAGGCGCCCGTGCGCGCGCGCGCCTTCGCGTGGGGGCCCCGCGCTGTCCGTCGGCGCAGCGAATCAGTCGGGCGTTCTTTGAGGAGGAGGAGGAGGAGGAGGAGGAGGAGGAGGAGGAGGAGGAGGAGGAGGAGGAGGAGGAGGAGGAGGGGGAGGGCGTGGACGACGACGAAGACGAGGACGAGGAGGACGAGGAAGACAAGGACGAGGAGGAGGATGAAGGGAAGAAGGGGGAAGAGGTGGAACAGGACGAGGAGAAGGAGGAGGAGGAGGTGGGAGGGGGACGAGGAGGAGGAGTCGGAAGAGAGGGAGGAGGAGGAGGAGGGGGAGGAGGAGGAGGAGCAGGAGGAGGAGGGGACGGAGGAGAAAGAATAGGCGGAAGTGGAGGAGGAGGAGGAAGGAGGAGGAGGAGAAGGAGGAGGAGGACGAGGAGGACGATGGGGGAGGAGGAGGGGGAGGAGGAGGAGGAGGAGGAGGAGGAGGAGGAGGAGGAGGAGGAGGAGGAGGGGGAGGGGAGGGGGAGGGGGGCGGGGGGAAGGATGGAGAACTCGTATGCACGCTTTTTCCTGGTGTACGGCAAAGGACCACGTCTAAGTGCACAAGTTGCAATATACGGGATCGTGCCATCCAGAGTACCAATCGGAAGGACCATGCGTAAACAACACACGGTGCGCCACCATGGGTACATACGTGTTGTCAGAGTATACGGTATCCGCACTGATGCACCCGCCGGATATAGCCACGATTTAAGGATGTAAGGATGAAGCGCGCGGACGGGCACCTAGGAGACGGCAGGGATACACATATACAAGTGAAGTCACCCGGATTCGTCCTCTGGCTTCGTGCAAGCACCTGGGATCGCCCGTAAGGGGGAGCTCCAATATATAGGGACGTACGTAACGACACACGGAAGGGCGATTTGTGGAGAGAGCCAACCTAGAGGAACATACGGAAGCACGCACGGAGTCGGCTTTGTGGAGACGGCACGGATGTAGGAACATACAATATCGCACGCGGCTTCGTCCGTTCGGTGAGGGCATATATATAGGAACACAGGGAAGAACGCACGGGGTTGGGTTTCTGATTTCGCGCAGGGTTCTGGTTCAGCCCGCAGGCGGGAGCAGTTGTGCAAGTCCGTTTGCGTTGTCCGACGGACGACGTCATGTTCCAGGTGGCGCCCAGGCGCCGGGCAGCCGCCGCGGCCGCTGCTTCG